CTAAGATGGTGGAAATTGCCTTAACTCTCCCATACTCACCTCCAAACAAGAATTAAATAGTGCCCCAAAATGAATCCTGGAACAGCAGAACGAGCAAAATGATGGGGTAAAACAAGAAACGTCAAAGGTCAGCAAGCAAGGTCTGTCTCACTCTGGTGTAAGATAGAAAGTGTCCCAGCAAGCCCTGCCTCAGGAAACTAGTGGGAGGTCCCAAACCCCAGTGTGGCAAAGCAAGCAAAGGACAACACTAGGACCCACCCTCCACTCCCTACCTTGTACCTCAGCATAGCTAGGGGAAGGGGCAGACACCAGCTCCAGAACCACACTGTGCTTCAGCATAGCCCGAGGCAGACAGTTAGATTCACAGGTGCCTGGGCCTGAACCACCCACCTAACCCAGCATAGCCAGGCACCAATTCTGGGACCTGCTAAGCACTTCAGTGTAGCCCCTAGAAAGCAGGAAGATGCCAATGCAGGGACCCCCCCCCCACCATGGACCATAGCCATCAGATGCCAGTGCTGGGTCCTGCCACTTGCAATGGCAACCCAAGGCAAACAGAAGCCAATGCAGTGACGACTCTCCACAGACCTCAGCACATATGCAGCACCACTACAGGGACCCTGACTCGGCACCAGAAGTTGCCAGACCCCCTACGGCCTCCAACAGCACCAGCCACCTCACACCCCGTACCCTCAGGCACCAGACCTGAGGGTCCACCATGGTCTCAGGGCCACACCAGTAAAGTGCCAGGTAAACAGCCAGGGCCTGCAACCCCTGGCACAAGAAGCCTGAGATAGTGCCTCTTCCACCTCAAAAACAGAGTTCAAATTTAAAAGTAAGGGAAAAGGCTGGAAAAGATAAGCAAGAAACGGGGCAGCTAGGTGGCACAGTGGATAGAGTACCCGCCTTGGAGTCAGGAGGACCTGAGTTCAAATCAGGTCTCTGGCACTGGACACTAGCTGTGTGACCCTGGGCAAGTCACTTAACTCCATTGCCTAGTCAAAAAAAAAAAAAGAATATCTAGGAGAAGCTAGGTGATGCAGTGGATAGAGCTCTGGCCTTGGAATCAGGACGACCTGAGTTCAAATCCAGCCTCAGACATTTGACACTTAACTAGCTGTGTGACCCTGGGCACTTAACCCCATTGCCCAGCCAAAAAAAAAAAAAAAAGAAGAAATAAAGAAAGAAATAGATAGAGCAGGGAGATTTTAGAAAAATATGAAGACTTGTACAAACTGATGCAAAGTGAAATGAGCAGAAGGAAAACATTGTACACAGTAACAGCAACATTGTGTGATGATCAACTATAAATGACTTAGCTCTTCTTAACAACTTAATGATCCAAGACAATTACAAAGGATTCATGATGGAAAATGCAATCCACCTCCAGAGAAAGAACTGATGAATTCTGAATGCAAATCAAAACATATCTTTTTCACTTACTTTATTTTCATGATTTTTTCCTTTTGGTCTATTTCTTCTTTCACAATTGTGACTAATATGGATATGTTTTAGATGAGTGCACGTGGATAACCTATATCAAATTGCTTATTTTAGAAAGAGTGGACAGGACAGAAAAATTTGGAACTCAAAATCTTGCAAAAATTGATACTAAAAATTGTCTTTACATATAATTGGGAAAAAATAAAATAACTATTAAATATATATCTTAGAAGGAAAGGAACAATGAATACTGACTCTTTGGAGCTATGTCCTAGATATGACAATCTTCCTGAAGAAGGTGAAGTTTATCCTATCTGAGGAGGAAGCAGTTTATTGAATTCCAATAAATGCTGATATGGAACCGCCAGTACATTTAAACTAATAATCATCTAGGGATCATTAGTCCACAAGTAGATTTAAAACAAATGGAATGGTAGAAACCAAAGATCAGTCTCCATTAATAAGTTCACGTTAGGCTCTGATGGAGTGCCCCAGGGATGTGAGATTGCCCCTTTGCTTAGAGGCTTGGATAAAGGCATGGACTACATCCTTATAAAATGTGCAGTTCACAGGAAGCTAGAAGGAATAGCTAATATTGGATGACAGGAAACAAAGGGAGAGAAATAAACAGGTTTCACCCATATTTGTTCAAAAAATAAATTTCATACGTACAGGATAGGGGATTGGCTTGAGAAAGTCAGCATGAATTTATAAAGCACCTATCATGTGTTAGCACATGGTCTGATCATGCCATTTCCCCTATTTACAATAAACTCTAGTGGTTTCCTATCATCTCCAGGAGCAAATACAAAATGCTGCATTCAAAGTCCTTTATAACCTAGCCCCTCCTACTTTTCCAGTCTTTTTACACTTTAATGCCCAACATGATCCAGTGACACCATCCTCTTGGTAGTCTCACAAGACACTCCAATCTCTCAGTTCCAAGCATTCTCTCTGGCTGTCCCCGTTCTTATATTATTCTCCCACCTTCGGGTTACTGACCTCCCTGGCTTCCTTTAAGTACCAATTAAAACCCCACCCAAAAAAAAAATCAAACTGGGAGGGAAAGACCCTCAGGGCTTCTGGCCACTTTCTTGGCTCACTTATGAAACAGTCTAAATTACTGAATGGGCTTTGCCTCAGTCAAAGTGAGAACTCAGAAAGACCTTAGCTTAAAAAGGCCAATGTGTCCCATTATATCCTTGGTGGTCTCCAGGTGTCTTGCTCTATGTCTGCCCAAGGGACCTAGATGGTTCTGGAGGAGAAAGTGAGGCTGGTGACTTTGCACAGCCCTCCCTCACATAAAACCAATTCACTTGCAAGTTATGGCCTCATCTTCATGATGTCAAGGTCCTCTTCGAGAACGAAGGACAAACCACAACCTGTGAGTAGTCCGAGCTGCCACACTTGGGACCCAACAGGCCAGTTTCTGTTGGCCAACTTCCCTCTCCCTCTCCCTCCCCTTCTCTCCTTCTCCCTCCCTTCCACTTACCTGAGGGTGTTCTGCTCAAAGGAAAGTAACTTTTGAAGGCTGAATCCTACCTAGATATCTTGAGGTTTACTGGCTAGATTTCTTTCTTAAAGACCATGCCTTAAACCCAAATTCACTCTGGCTGTCCTTGATTGGCCAACAACTGACCCCATCCCTAGCACCACTTAATGGTTATTGTTTGGACCCTGAGTGAATGTAAATAGTAATTGTTTCTCTTTTGACTAGAAACCCTGAGGGTCTTCCCCTCCCAGTTTGATTTTTTTTTTTCTTAAAGAGGTCATCTCTTGGCTCACTTCTGAAACAGCCTAAATTACTGAATGGGCTTTGCCTCAGTCAAAATGAGAACTTGGAAAGACCTTAGCCTTAAAAAGGCCAAGATCTCTCATCGCCTCCTGGATGGTCTTCAGTTGTCCTGATCTGTATCTGGCCACTGGATCCAGATGGCTCTGGAGAAGAAAGTGAGGCTGATGTCAAGGTCTTCTTCAAGAATGAAGGACAAATCACAATCACAACCACAAAATCCCACCTTCTACAGGAAGCCTTCTCTAGCCCCTCTTAATTCCAGTGCATTCCTTTTTGCCAATTACTTCCTGTTTGTCCTGTATAGATTTTGTTTCATATGTATTTGTTTGTGTGTCTCTTCTGTTAGATTATAAGCTTCTTGAGGGCAGGGACTATTGCCTCTTTTTATACCTCAGCACTTAGCATAGTGCCTGACACTTAAGTACTTAATAAATGTTTACTGAAACAAAAAAGAAACAGCACTTTCATTCAAGGAGTTTGCACTTGTGAAAAATGATTATTAATAACCAATATCTTGGAGATTCAGAGCTTCCCCCAGCCTCCTTCTTCCAAAGTCCTGATTTTAAATTTTCAGTTTTTTTCTTCAGAAGGACAATCTTGATAATGAGATTGCTTTGACCCTTCTCATCTGGGTCAGCTCCCACCCAAATATGCAAGGAATTTAATCTAAACTAGGAAAGCCCATGGGGTTCAACTCAAACTTGGGTGGAGACAGATTCTTTTGTCTAGATCACAGGTGGGGAACCGGCCACCTTAAGGCCCTCTACATCCTTAAGTTTGACCTTTTGACTAAATCCAAGGATTCAAGGATCCAAGGATTCAGATTCAATGCAGATCAAAGGATTTGTGTCAACTTTACCTCTCTGGGGCTCAGTTTTCTCATCTTTAAAATGAGGTTGAACTAGATAACCTCTAAGACTGCCTAAATTTTGTGGGGAGAGCAAAATAAACTTATGAGGATAGATTTCTCACAGATGACCTAGTAGGGTTGCCACTTAGCTGGTATCTGACCAGTTTGGCCAACATTTTAGTTGCAAAAGTCAGTTGCTTTATAGTGATGTGTCCCATTATGACTGGGTCCCCTCTTAATTCCAAATTCAGTTTTGGTTACCCTATCTTTCAAATGGGAGGCACAGTGGACAGAAATCTAGACTTGGGAGTCCAGAAGACCTTCAAGAGTGAAGGTAGGGGATGGGCGTATCAAATAAATCCCAAGTATGGTGCCAGGGAAAGAGTACTAAGTCAGAGTATCTGGGTTCAAATTTGGGCCCCTCTGCCTTCCACCAACGTGACAGTGGGCAAATAAGTTCCCTTTTCTGAGCCCCAGATTATTCATCTATGAAATGACTGGTGTTATGTTAGATAACCAATGATCAACGGACAAACCGCTCAACCTCTGTGAACCTCAGGCAACTTTCTAAAAGCACAAATTATAAACAGGTTATAGTCTGGGTAAGTGGAATCAGTCCCCACCACAAATAAATCACAGGTCCATTTTTTATTGACCTTTCAATTATCATGTAAGAACTCCTCTCTCTGCAAAGAGCAACCATAGAAGAAACAACTCACCGTTTGTTTTTACCAAGAATCCACAAGGTGGCGCTTGACTAAGCCTAAATACAGAGCTAATTTATAATGGTAAGGAATTTAAAAGTATGGATTTAGTTCAATTCAGTTCAACCAACATTTATTAAATGCCTAATGGGTGAAGAATTCTGTGTTAATATAACCTTAATGTTGAGAAAATGAAGCTATGGTTTTCTTCTGGTTAGACTCTGTACCAACCATTCAGGTTTAAACAGTTAAAGAAGTATCCAACATGATTGGGTCAGAAAAAGAGGCAATCAATACTTGTTAATGTGTTTGAGCTCTTGTATGTGTGGGTGTGGGGTGGAGATAAAAAGAATTTAGCAAGATATTAATGTATGTTTGAATACATCAACGACATAATTTTTTTTAATCACCATTGGTACTTTTGTTTTCATGTATTTTCCTTTGCACTTTGGTATGATTAATCTTGTATCATTTTAATCTTTAATGATCCTTTAAATGTCTGACTTCCCCATATCAATAGCCACTGCAATACTTCTAATATTTATTAAGTGTGCTCATTAAGAGTTACAACTTTTGCATATTTCCTTAGTGAAAAATATATGCTTAAAAACCACAGAATTAAAAGGGCAATGAAATATGTGTATGGCATAAAATTTAGCACTGAACCAATAAGAGAACTAACTAGAGGTAGGGAAAATCAGCTTAATTTGGTTTCATCTTGTCAAAGTTAAATGTTTGGAGTCAACCTAGTGTCAGTTGAAGCATACATGCATGACTATCGCTGTCACAGAATGAAAGCATATCAACATTATTGCTCATCCTAAGTAGTTTACACACTACTGTAGCAGAAAAGAAATCAATAAATGCTTGTTGAGGAATGATCCAGAATTTTCTCTTCTTGGTCCTTTCATCTTTGGCCAGTTTCCCAACGTAGATGGCTCCCTCAAGGGCCACATGGTTTCCTGGAGAGAAATGAAGATGATCTGCAGGGAATTAAGTTTATATCTATGTGTAGCCCCTATCCTTTCTCTCTAGCATCCTTCCCACAGCTAGTAAGTTTAGAAGAAGTATTTGAACCCAGATCTAAGGTAAACCCCAAGAGTGTACCACGGGTATATGAACTGACGGTGAATCAGTTAGTTAATATCAATATGGTGCCAATAAAATAATAAACACCCAGGACACGCGAAGAATTACATACTTTATGAGGGAGTTAACCTTGTCAAGGAAATTTCATATCTTGTTAAAGACATAGAATCAATTCCAGAATAAAGCCCTTATCTTTGGCCACAAGCACCCAATACTTGCTTTTCTGGTCCAAGAGAAGACAAATCCTATGATCGTGAACTGGCAATGGCAGGAGGCAGTGCCACAGCAAAGGAGGAATTACTAGACAGTGCTGAGTTCCTATACCAATTCTGGAAGCAGGGAGGAGCCAGACCTGAGGAGCCACAAAAGGTGAGCTCATGATGTGAAAGTGCAAACTCAGACCTTGCCCTTTATTAGTATTTTAAGTTACTTGGATTCAGCAGGTTTGGGGAAGAGGGGCTGACTCTTCAGTGAATTCTAGTGGAAATAGATACAGTAGAATGAGTCCTACAAAAATAAAAGTCTGGATAGGGTCCTGAGAGAGGCAGGGCTCGCTAGAAGGCGGAATGAAAAGTTGTCTTCACTCCACTGAAGAAGTATTAAAGTATAAGACAAAAAGCACTCAATTAGGAGCCTGAAGAACTTGGCTTAGAATGTCATCTCTTAGGCTTATTAACTTTAACCCTGGGCAAGTAAGTCCCTGAGCATCGTCTCTCAGACTCAGATTCCTCCTTAATAAAATGGGAATCATGATAATAGCACCTACTTTACAAGGTTCTAGTGAAGAGTAAATGGCATAATTACATACATAAAGTGTTTTGCAAACCTTAAAGGACTCTAATTGTTAGCCATAATTACCTAGAGCAGCATGACTCAGCAGCATAATGCTGTGGAAAGAATGATGGGCTTGTAGTCTTGGGTTCAAATCTGAGCTCTGTTACTATCATTGTGATCTTAGACAAATCATTTAACCTTTCCGGGCCTAAGTGTCCTCATCTGTGAGAGGAGAAAGTTAGACTAAATCACCTCAAAGGTCTCTTCCAGTTCTAATCCTAGGAATCCTGTGTGTTTTGCTTTTTCTGTTGAGTGAAATAACACCGGTCTTGTATTCAGCGACTTCCTGTTGGCCTGAGTACTTGCTTTGACCTTTTTTTGTAGAGACCTACACATGAAGTACATACTGATATTGCCAGGAGAAACCCATCGATGGTTTCTTTGGCGTAAGCTGGGGGGAGGGAGACAAAGACAGACAGAGAGACAGAGAGACAGACACACAGACACACACTGAGAGAGAGCAAGTGAGGGTCTCGGATGACTCTGAGATTTCAAACCTGGGTGACTTAAAGGATAGTGATATCCTCAACAGAAATAAAGAGGTTAGGAAAAGGAGGGGTTTGAGGAAAAAGGTAATTCATTCTGCTTAGGACATGTTAGGTTTGTGATGCTTATGAGACCCAGATAGAGATGCCTAATAGGCAGCTGGTGATGAAGGGCTGAAACTCAGATGAGGGCTAGACACCTAGCTTTGAGAGTTATCAGCACAGTGATGATAATCAAACCCAAAGAAGCTGGTGAGGTCACCAAGAGAGAAAGGGCACAGAGAAAAAAGAAAAGGGTGCAAGACAGACCACTGACCTAGGAGATGGAAAGAGGATCATAATCAGAAAATGAGACAGATAGGAATGGTCGCATAACTAGGAAGAGAACAAGGTCATGAAAAGCCAGGGATCAGAGAATAGGCTGGACTGTCAAAAGTGGCAAAGAGGGCAAGAAGGATGAGGACTGAGAAAACATCTTTGGAATTAATAACTAAGAGATCAATGACGACCTTGGAGAAAGACTCTTAGAACCCTAGGTGGAGTTCCTGGACCAAGTGTGAGACAGAGCAGAAGGCTATCAAGATCAAGGGTTGGAGCCAAAGAAGGAAACTAGACCATCCTGCCTTCATTTCTCTCCCAGCCCTGTTCCTGACCTTCAGGAATTCAAAATCATGCCTCTGCCTTTGTCTCATCCTACTCTTCCTTTAGTGCTGGAGGCCTCTTCACTATAGAACTTCTACCACCCCAAGGGCTTGTTTACCATGGAATATCTTTCCATAAAACCTCCCTCCTTTTTTTCAATCCCATACCCCTATTCAGCTCCCTTTATGTGTGGTCCTAGCCCTTCATTTTGTTTGCATTTGTATTCCTAGCACTAAGAGCCCAATAAGCAGCTCAATTAATGCTTGTTTCCTTCCTACAGTAAGTGAAGCGATGAATCCAGTTTGCTTTTCATTGATATTGAGTTATGGGGGGGTGGGGAGGGGAGAGAGAGAGAGACAGACAGACAGACAGACAGACAGAGACAGACAGAGAGAGGAGAAGGAGCAAGAGAGAGAAGAGAGGGAAGAAGAGAGAGAGGGAGGGAGGGAGAGAGACAGACAGATACAAACAGAAAGAGACAGACAGAGAGGAGAGAAAGAGAGGCTTTACAGCCTGACCTAGGGACATCCTATAAATTTGGAGGGCTGTATAAATCCGTAGGAGGTGTGGCTCACTAGAAGAACGAGTGCTTGAAGTGCTTTTCTCTTTCTTGGCTTGGACAGGAGTCCACCTACCTGGGGTAGTATTACAAGTCTAAAGGACTGTATAGGGGTTTTTTTTGGAAGTAGTACTTCGCATTCCTCTCCCTTTTTTACCTATTATATTCATTTTGAGTAAGTTATACTCTTTCAGAGCCATATAAGGATAATAAGATCATAGAGATGGAGCAGGAAAGGACCTTAGAGGTCTCATTCAGTCCAATTTCCTCATTTTACAGGGTCGCAAAAAACCACCTAACGCACAAGAACAGAGACTTTACATTCAGGTGAAGAAACTAAAGCCAAGGAACATTAAATAATTTACTCAAGGTCAGAGGGGTAATAAGAGGTAGAACCAGGATTCAAACCCAGGCCTGTAGTTCCAGATTCAAATTCCTTTCTACATTGTGAGGTCAATTTTGCCCTGTTACACCAGAGCTCTGGTCGACCTTTCTTGCTATCTATATTTTGTGAATTTGTATGTAGACATCCCAGGGCATGAGTTTGATCGCTTTTTTCTTGAATTTTGCTTCCTGTGAATAACTGGGCAGATAGGTTACTTATCTTCTCCCTAAGTTGCAGTTTCTCTCTATGGTGTCTAGTTAGAAAAAATACATAGGCAGTATTCTCCACCCATCCCCTTTTTCTTTTCAATTCAATACCTTTATTATATTTGTAAGATTCTAGGCAAATAGATTGTTAACAGCCCTTGTTAAGCATACTGGCTGAGATCCATTCTCCCAAGATCTTCAGCTGTGGTTTGTAAATGAAAATCTCTTTCTCAAATATCATTAAAAAAACAGCAACAACAACACTTGTTCTTTCCCTAACCTGACTTTTTCTCCCAAAGCCCTTTAAAAAAAAAATCAGAAGCAGTGATGAAAACACCACATCTGCACTTAAGAGCACAGCTACACTCTGTAACTCAAATATCTCAGCAAATCATAGGATTTTAGAGTTGAAGGGACCTTCCTGATCTCTCATTCTGAACAAGGAATCCCTACTACCATGCACCTTTCATGTGGTCATCCAGCCTTTGTTTAAAGAGCTCCATTTCAGAGGCAATCTACCACTTCTAGACAATGCTCAGTGTTAGGAAGTTCTCCCGAACATCAAGCCCAGATATGTCTCTTTGAACCTCCGTCTATCCTTCTTTGTTCTCTCACCTTGCACTTGTGAAGCTGATTTTCATCTCCAAGTAGGAAGTAAGCAGAGGAGGAGAATCTCTTGCCCCCCGAAGACCACCTCACAAGTAGACAGGATGTTGCTGATGGTGGTGCATAAATTCCTATCACATTTGCTTAGGAAAGAGACACAAAAGCACTCCTTTAGGAAAAGTTTTGCTGTGCTAAGTTTGGAGCAATATAGGAAAATTCTTCTTGGAAGGTAGACAGTGGCTGCCTCTTGGGGCAAAGTTATCCATTCCCTGGTTCACCAGAAAAAACCAGACTTGACCCAGCCGGTGAACAGAAGTACACTTCTCAGATCCATGCCTTAATTTTTGTTGTTGTTAAGTCATTTTTCAGTTGTGTCCAATTCTCCATGACCTCATTTGGGTTTTTTTGTCAAAGATACTGGAGTGGTTTGCCATTTCCTTCTCCAACTCATTTTATAGATGAGAAACTGAGGCAAACAGAGTTAAGTGACTTACCCAGGGTCACTAGTAAGTGTCTAAGGCCATATTTGAACTCAGGAGGATAAGTCTTCCTGACTCCAGGCCCAGTGCTCTGTCCACTGTGCCACCTAGCTGTTCATGCCTTAATACTTAATACTACATTAGAATTAATCCCTGAGAGACCCATTCAAACACTAACCAGCTATTTGCAGACGTTGTTGTTAAACCCAGTTGTCCTTCCTGGGGCTCTCATCAAGAATGGCAGGTGCAACCCCAACCTGCCCTCACGCTGGCAGGTTCATGTTTCCCAAAGAAGAAACAGCACCAAGGGACTTTGACTCAAATGTTTCTAGGGGTAATACTATTTTGGGGGGTATATTTTTATTTACTAATGTAACTCTAGACCTGTGTGATTTCTGTCTTCATAAAATCAATCACTATGATATCCTTAATTCAAATAAAAGTTATTTATTTAACCATAAAAAAAAAAAAGAATGGCAGGTGCACCCAACAGGCATTTGGGCTTGGACTGGTGCCAGCAACCTTTACATAATTTCCATGACCCTGCATTTAACACAGGATCCATGGGGTTTTCCAGAGATAACTGGAGTGGTTTGCCATTTCCTTCTCCAATTAATTTTACAGATGAGGAATTGAGGCAAAAAGGATGAAGTGACTTGTCAGGGTCACACAGCTAGTAAATGTCAGAAGTCACATTTGAACTCAGGTCTTCTTGACTCTAGGCCCAGCATTCCGTCTGCCGCATCACCAAGTTGTCCACCTAGGTTCAAATCCCAATTTTGGTACTTACTCCCTGTATAACCTTGGGCCTCATTTCACCTCTCTATACCTCATTTTCCTCCTCTGTAAAAAGAGGGGAATGGACTAGATGAACTCTAGGTCTAATTCTAGATGAACTCTAAATCTATGAGTCTATAATCCTATAGTAGAGTAGGAAGAAACAGGACCTGGGTTCAAATCCTACTGCCATCTGCAACCCTGGGCAAATCACTTCTTCCATAAAGGTCTCACTTTCTTCAACTGAAAAATGGAAAGAGGGAGAAAGTTAGGCTATATGATCTCTAAGGTTTCTTTTGATTATAAAATCCTATGATTTTCTGGTCAGGAAGGAATTATACCATCCGCTTCCTTTTCCTATGAATCATCCTCACCAGACCAGAGCCTTCATCTGTCTGAACTGCACTAACTTTGGTCCTAGCTCAAATGCGAGATGACCCACGTGTTCATCCCTCGACCCACATTCAGGGAAAACCATCTGCCACACGAAGGTCTTGCTCCAGAGCCCAGAGGCACCCTCCAACTTCCTGCTAGAGGGGAGCCCAGCTCAGGTGGCCCGAGGTTGCTTACCAGTCAGAGGTCATTGCCCCCAGTGAACGGGATCAAAGTGTCTCAGGAATGGGGCTTTTCTCCCAGGCCAGGGACTGTTCTGGTTGCCATCATCTTCTTGCTCCCTTTTACTCCACAGTCAACTCAGACTCAGCCATGTAGGTGTTTATAGCTTGGCAATGACGCTCTTGTTGTGTTTGCTCCGTCGGCTCACACTCTGCTGTTTACCTTAGATCAAACCATGGCAGGACTGGGTTGGGGAGTGAATGTGGGCCGGGAGAGGCTGATCTGACAGCCCCAGAGTCTTCTGCCAGTGTAACTGTCTTGAGGCCTCTGATTCAGAGCCAGAGGCTCCAAGGCTTGGAACCACAGAGTAAGGCCCTTCTCCATGGTCAGAGGGGCCATTCTTTATGGACTGGTGACTGCTCTGGCTTTGATTTCATTTCAGTGATTCAATTCAATGTAACTCGATAACTGTCTGCTCTGTGCCGAGCACTGGGAAATAGTTCCTGCCTTCAAAGAACCCACTTGGGGGGGCTCGACATGCAAACAAACAAATAAATACAAAGCAATATAAAGTTCAAATGGGAGGGAATACTAATACCCGGAGACCTCTTGTAAGAGGTAAAACCATAGCTATACATTTCAGATCAAAACTTGGTTTGTTTTTTTAAAGGGATTTTTAAACACACTCACACAAATCAGTAGCCTGAGATTTCTAGTAGGATAAATATTCCCTCTATTTGCATATCTTACATTTTTCCATGTCACCATCACTAGTGATTTCCCATTTTATTCTCTTTCCCCATCCCTATTTTGGAGGCAGTGTGGCAGAATGGGAAGAGCAATAGAATTAGAAGCCGAGGACCCAGGTTCTGCCATTGATTATGGTTTCAGTAAAGTGAAGCAAGATTGGAGTCAGCCTAGATATAGTGAGCAGCACTCACTAATCATCATAGCACGGTGGGAACTCCAAATTCTTGGAAATGCAAACACTGCCAGGGAATCTTGAAATTACAGCTGATCACAGACTCAGAAAATGGCCAGCCAGAAGGAACTTTAGACATCATCTCATTCAGGGATTCTTTTTTTTTTTTTTTTGGCTAAGCAATGGGGTCAAGTGACTTGCCCAGGGTCACACAGCTAGTAAGTGTCAGGTGTCTGAGGCTGGATTTGAATTCAGGTCCTCCTGGCTCTAGGGCCAGTGCTCTATCCACTGTGCCACCTAGCTGCCCCTTGGTGTAAAGTTTTTAAAAAAGAAAAAAAACCTACCTTTTTAATGTATTAGTGAGTGGTTTTGCACGCGCCTGCTGCTTGACTAATAAATGTTAGGGAAATAATAATGTATTTTGACGAACATATCAAGCTGCATAATCACAGTCCGTTATGGCAGCTTATATTTTATATAGATTCCCTCTTCCCCCAACTTTCATGTCATCCCACAAGTACCCTTTTAAAGAAGCAGTAAGATGAAGATGAAGTAGAGAAGAAAGGCCACGGATATAATGGAAGAAGCCATTAAGAACTCCTAAAAAAGAATGGACACAGCTGTGTAAAAGTCAAATCCTTCAATTGGTTGGTAGTTAAATTCATTCAAAGAATCAATATCCAAATACTGCAAAGAACATCTTCCACTCCTTCTTAATAAAAACTGGGAAATCCACAGTCCTGCCAAATGAGTGAAAAGTCAACGAGGTTTTGTCTTAAAAATAGCAATCTCCAATGGCGGTTATTTCCCCCTCCCCCTGCAAAGGAACCAGTCTTAGTTCTAGACTGAGGATGGGTCACATGGGATGATTATCACTTGTGATCTCTAGAGAAACTCAATCTGTTTCTTGGTGAGTGTCCTTTTCTTCTGGATATTCAACATCTTACCATTGTTATCTATACCAGAACAGTCATTAGAAGCATTTAAATTATGGTCACTGGGCTTTTTGATTTTCTAAAAGGCAAAATGATTGGAAACCAGTGCCGTAATAGATTATTATAGCAGCCCTGGGGCTGGAGTAAGGAAGACCTACATTCAGATTTGACCTCAGACCCTTACAGGCTATGTGATCTTGGACAAGTCACTTAACTTCTGCCTCAGTTTTGTCATATATAAAATGGAGATAATTTAATGCCTCCCAGGTTTCTTGTGAGGATCAAATGAGCTAATATTTTCCAAAGTGCTTTGCAAACCTTAAAGTATTATATAAATGCTAGCTATTATTATTATCTTATTAGAGATAATAGCATGAAAGACAGGAGTCAAAAACTTCCTTAGAGCAAAACATTAATACTCACTGCTTGGGTTTGAATGAACAGTCCACTGAAGGACTTCTAAGAGCTTTTAAGAATCTTGGATAGAGCTCTTAACTTGGAGTCAGAAGGACCTGAGTTCAAATCCACCCTCAGACACTTGACACTTATTAACTGTGTGACCCTGGGCCAGTCACTTAATCCTGATTGCCTCACCAAAAAAAAAAAAAAAAAAGTCAAAGACTAATTTATACAAACATGAGTATACATAATACTATAATTTAAAAGATGATACAGTAATTATAGCAACTGCTTCATTATGTAATAATAATAACAATAATAGCTAACATTCATAGAGTACTTCCTATGGGCCAGGCACTAAATTAAGGACTTTATAATTCTTACTTCATTGGTCCTCACAACAACCCTGGAAAGTAGATGCTATTAATATTTCCATTTTACAGATGAGGAAACTGAGGTTGTGAGTTGACCAGGGTCACACAGCTAGTGATATATGATGCTGGATTTTAACTCGGGTCTTCCTGACTCTAAGTCTGGTGCTGTATCCACTGGGTCACCTAGCTACCCCCAATAATAAGGAATAAAGTAGAGAAAGAGAATCAAAAAGAGAAACCAGACTTTAAATGTCATTTTTTCAGCTTTAAATATCATTTGAGTGAAAAGGCACCCTCTATTAAAACATTGTGAAGAGGGAGAGTTCAATTTTTGTTTTTTTGGTGACAGGGTTTGGAAATGGACACATTAAAATTTTCTTCGTATATGAAGTTGGTTTCTGTCAGGCAAATTGGATGGTGACAAATTTTTTTTTTATTTCCTTGTTTAAGTCAGTCTCTTCCTTCATTGGCTTTTTCTTTTTTGGGGGAGGGAGAAGGCAATCAGGGTTAAATGACTTACCCAGGGTCACACAGATAGTGTCTGAGGACAGATTTGAACTCAGGAACTTCAGATTTCAGAGCCAGTGCTCTCTTCACTGGGCCACCTAGCTTCCCCATTCAGTGGCTTTTCAAATGTGCTTAGTAAAAGTGATACATCAAGGCCACAAAGGCAAAGACTTGGGTTCACCCGATTATTCACCCTCCACACTCCACCACTGGAGTTATTATCAATTATCAATAGTAGTGATAAGAATATCTGAAAGTTTCTTTATTTGCATCTGTCATCTGGATAAAGTTTCCCTATGCTTTATGTCTTGGGGAATTTGGGGGAGTCTATGGAATGCCTAACATCCCTCAAATTTTCAGTAGCATCACCTTCAGTTTGCTCCCATTAAGCTTCTCTACCAGGATGCTCACTGAGGAATGTGGTCAAATATTAGATTTTGCAATTCAGGATGACCCAGGGGCTTGCTGGGGTTGCACTTCTCAATCTCCTCCAGCCTGTAGGATTTCACGTTTGTGTCCAACTGCTCTGCCACTCAGAAATCCCACATCTCTTTACAGGGAGCAGTATTGAGCACAGCAGCCCATGGAATCCTGAACCAAGACATTCTCTCCATGAACTTTTAAAAATATTTCAACAACTGTATTTCAACCTAATCAGCTTCCTTGGCAATCCAATATATTTTATCTTCTCCTTTTATTTTTTTAATTAATTTGATTTATCAACCATCACTTCCATATGCTTTTGAGTTTTAAATTTTTCTCCCCCTCCTTCACCAAGACTGCACGCAATCCGATATAGGCTATACGTATGCATTCCTATTAAACATATTTTCACTTTAGTGATGTTGTAAGGAAGAATTAGAACCAATAGGAAGATCCACCAGAAAGAGGAAACAAAACACAACAGAAGAAAAGAAAATAACAAATAGTATGCTTCGATTTGCATTCAAACTCCACAGTTCTTTCTTTGGATATGGATAGCATTTTCCATCATGACGCCTTTGGAGATGTCTTAGATCCTTGTATTGCTGAGAAGGGTTAAGTCTATCAATATTAGTCATCCCACAATGTGGCTTTTACTGTGTGCAACGTTCTTCTGGTTCTGCTTACTTTACTCAGCATCAGACCATACAAGTCTTTCCAGGTTTTTCTGAAGTCTGCCTGCTCATCGTTTCTTATAGCACAACAGTATTTCATTACATTCATATACCACAACTTGTTCAGTCATTCCCCAATTGATGGGCATCGCCTCAATTTCCAAGTCTTGGCCACCACAAAAAGAGCTGCTATAAATATTTTTGTATATGTGGGTCCTTTTCCCATTTGTATGATCTCTTTGGGATATAGCCCTAGAAGTGCTATTCCTGGGTCAAAGGGTATGTATATTTTTGTAGCCCTTTGGGCATAGTTCTATATTGCTCTCCAAAATGGTTGGATCATTTCACAACTCCACCAACAATGCATTAGTGTTCCAATTTTCCCACATCTTCTCCAACATTTATCATTTCCCTGTTTTGTCATGTTGGCCAATCTGATAGGTGTGATGTGGTACCTCAGAGTTGTTTTGATTTGCATTTCTCTAATCAATAGTGATTTAGAGCATTTTTTCATGTGACTATAGATGGCTTTAATTTCTTTGTCTGAGAGCTGCCTGTTCATATCCTTCGACCATTTATCAATTGGGGAATAACTTGTATTCTTATAAATTTGACTTAATTCTCTATATATTTTAGAGATGAGGCCCTTATCAGAGAGACTGGTTGTAAAAATTCTTTCCCAGTTTACTACTTTCCTTCTAATCTTAGTTGCATTGGCTTTGGTTGTACAAAAACTTTTCAATCTAATGTAATCAAAGTTATTCATTTTGCATTTTTCATTTTTTAAAAATTTTTTATTGTTTATTTTTTATGGTAATTTTTATTTATTTTTTTTGTTTTCAACATTTACTTCCACAAGATTTTGAGTTCCAAATTTTCACCCCATCTCTCCCCTCCCCCCATCCCAAGATGGCATGCATTCTGAATACCCCTTTCCCTAGTCTGCCTTCCCTTCTATCTCTCCCCCT